ATGTTATTTCTGACAAAATACTTGAAAGCAAACTTAATATGTTTAAAAATTGATATTTCAAACTATTGTGTTTTGGCAGAATCCATCAGAGGTTAAAATAGCAGAAGAAAATGGAGCTGCTTTTGCAGGAGGAACTACTCTGATTCAGAAGGTACAGTGCTGTTTTCATGTTCATTAGGTATAGAGATTGTTCTGTTACCTTTGCCGTCCATTGGGTTATTATACGAGAAACATAACCCTAAGGCTCAGATCTTGTGATAAATGTTTAGTAGGGCTTTATGAGAATAGGGAAAAATTTTTTGTACTTTTTTCAGTTTCAAAATCAAGCTAAGAATAAATTATCCAGAGAGTGTCATATTGAATATACTTGATTTACATTATAATTTTTTTTGTTTCCTTTTTGTCTGTGAGAGTTTTGTGGGTGGACTGGAAAGGGCAATATGAGTCTGGTTTTGAATGAGAGATTTAAAAGGAAATCCAAAAGGTGGCACACATGGATATCTCTATTCATGTTTTGAAGATCAGATATTTGTTTTGCTTTTTTAGAGTGAAAGTGTGATTCTCTTAGTAGATGACAAAGTATTGAATCTGACCTCTATAATATGGTGCTTTTGGTTCCTCTTAACTTTTACCCCCTACTCAGTTCAGAGTGGTATAGGCTCAGCATGGTAGAGACAAATGGTTATGTAGCCTGCCTTTAGAAAATAACAAAGAGCTTGTAGAGCCTGTTTGAAAACAAGGACAAAAAAATTTTTTTAAGAGTTTGGAAGAAGAGGCATGGAGTTATTTTTGAAAACACAAAAGATTTTCCTAATATTCTCCAAAAGCTTCTCTTCTAAATATAATCATTTGGATTATGGAATTTTGGGGCATGGGGAGAGATAAGAAAAAGTGACTTGAAAATTTATCCTTTGTCTCATACTCATATTTCCATCTGGGGAACTTTTAACTGGGCCCATCCTTTGGGATATACGACAGTGCTTGTTTGTTTTGTTCCATCTTAAAAGTATTCTAAATTTGGGTGGGGATTCTGAATTTTTAAGGTGAGTCTCCAGAATGATTTCTGGGAGCAGAACTAGTAGAAAATAGGAAGAGATTATGCTTTAATAGGAGTTCTAGGCCAGATTCAGAGGATGATACACAGTT